TGTAAGGTCATGCTCCTTGACATGCAGTCACTGAACATGCCACTTACAATTCAAGCGGAGGCACTGGAAGTTGTAGAGCATCTTACTTATCTTGGAAATTGTATTAGTTCTGATTGTGTGGTGTGACAGATGAGGTTGATGCACGAGTCTGTAAGGCCCGGGTCGCGTTTGCTAATTTGAGACACCTATGGCGTGGAAGCGATACATCTGTGAATCTTAAGGGACGTGTGTATCAAGCTACACTGCGGGCTGTTTCGTTGTATGGCTACGACTTGGCCTATTCGAGCAGCAGTACTGAGACGTTTTCAGGTGTTCGACAATTAGTATCTCAGAACCATACCACATATGGGTTGATGTCAGCAAATAAGTAACGAGGCAATTAGAAAGCGACGGGTACTTGCATTGAAGAATGTGTCCATCACCAAAAGTTGCGTTGGCTGGGACATGTCCTGCGTACGTGAAACCATCGTTTGTCGAAGACTGCTGTTTTCCATGCTCAACTCAGAGTGGCGCAAACAAGGAGGTGGCGAAGGGGCATGAAAGAGATTACGAAACGTTTGGGTGCTGTAGGCACTATTCGCCTTCCAGGATAGGGACCGCGTGCCCCTCACTGCGCCCGGATGGAGACGCTGCAAGATATGGCCGCAAACTTATATCAATGGCGTTCTTCTTGTCAGTTTTTATCCAGATTGCCTAAATGATTGTCCGGAGGTGTAGGCAACCCGGAATGACTGTAGTAAGCAAAAACTAAGTCCCTCTCCCTGTCCATCTTTGTTTCTTTCTTCACAATTAGGTTTTCAGATAAACCATGTTTGTACGGCAGTGAAGCATAGGTGTTAAAAACTGATATCATGCTGCCGATTGTGATGAGCATTTTACACTCTGAAGGTGTTTTATGCCAAATTATGAAGGGGAATTATCTAGCTGATTTAAAATGGTTCATATCTTTGAAGGAGCTGAACAAAGGAGAGTAATGGAACCAAATGGAGCTTCTTTCAAGTGGGAAATAACAATGATACTTCATAGAATGATCAAGATAGTCTGACGGTGATCGAGAGTTTGGCAGTCGACATCAAACGTGAATAAATATATTTACGATGCAGGTTGGCAGTAATATGACAGTTACAGCGTTTCACTAGAATAGGACCTTACTGCTAACATCTGATTGCAAAGAAAACCACGACTTCATTGGCTCTAACTTCAGGCCGTACCGGGCAAGTTTGAGTGTCGATCCGAAGCATGCTTGGATTAATCCGACGATTGTTTATCAAGTTAAGTCCAGCAGCTTCCAAAACATTGCGTTTCACATGTGCGGTCACGCTTAGAGTACAAGGGGACTGTGGTCTACTCCCATACCTTGAGAATTGACTCATACTGAATGCGTGCAGAGACCAACCATACGTTTAAGGGATCGACTGAGGCACTGATTATGAGGACGGGTTGGAGTCACTTTAGTTATCCAAAGCTACCGCATGACCAGAACATTTATGATCACATTCTAATGTATGCTAGGTGGCACCGCAAATGCCAAGGTGCAGCTGGACCTTTTCCACCTGATGAGGATCGCCACAGAGAAAACGGACTCCTGCACCGCAAGCTGTCGAAAACACCAGTGCCAATTCAGGGTCGCTAAGCTGTGACACTCGCTGCCTGTTGTAATGGTGAAGTTGATAAATGGAAATCACTTCAGTCACGAAATGGATGAGCAATTAAAACGAATACGGCATTGGGATCGATCCTGGTAACCGTCTGCCCCGACCTAATGTAGTGAAGGGGCTCATCATCATCATCATCATCATCATCATCATCATCATCATCATCATCATCATCATCATCATCATCGACAGCATAACATCAGTGTTCAACACCGATGATTCACTGCCGTACAACCATGACTTATTTGAAAGCCTTATTGTAAAGAAAAGAGTAAAGGTGGACGGGGGAGGGACTTAGTGCTAGCTTAACACAATCATTCCGAGGTGCCTACACCTCCAGACATTCACTCAGGCAATCTGAATAGAAACTCACAACAAGAACGCCACTGACATCGGTTGGCAGCCATATCTTGTAGTGTCTCCAACCAGGCACAGTGAGGATCACGCGGTCCCCATCCTGGAAGGCGAGTAGCACCGACAGCACCCAAGCGTTTCGTGATCTCCTTCATACTCCTCTGCCAAGTCAAGGGTTGGCCGCCTCTCTGTTTACGCCACTCCGAGTTGGGTATGGAAAACAGCACTCCCTTCGGTAAACGATGGTTCGGCATACGTAACACATGTCCCAACCAACGCAGCTTCTGGTGCTGGACACATTCTTCAATGGAAGTACCCGTTACACAACCGAAAACACGCTTTCTAACTGCCTCGTTACGGATTCGCTGACACCAACCCACACGAGCTA